AGTCTGAGGAGCCTCAGATCGACTGTGAGTTCTGTGAAAACAATGCAGTGTCTGATAAAGACACTGAGGTGGACAGGACCATGTAGGAAGTGAGGTTTTTCCTCAGAATACTAATCAGAATTAGACCATGAATGATAATGTGATTTCTCAATGCTGTTGTCGCATTTATTTGATACGAAAAGCATGCATGGATAAGAATAGTCACACATCAGTCAGGCTTTATCATTACACTGATTAAATAAATTAATTATAGGCTTTTACAGATTATGAATTGCATTAAATGAATTTGCTTGCTAGCTTGGAACAAATCATTGTGCATCCAACAATAAAGACAGCATGGAGCTCATTTATTTTTGTGATAGAAAACATAGTAGCATACAGAAAGCTCAAATTATGCCATTTTTTTAAATGGAACTTGATTTATGATGTCACATATCTTTATTTTATATTTTAAATTGAGATATTTTTATATCTTGACAATTGAAATTGACAACCTTAATAAATCTTATAACACAGGTATGGTAGGCATGTGCCGAGTCTCCTTTAATGCTATTTCTCATTAGCGGTAAATATGAACAACTCCTCAGCAGGGGTTTTCTGGAGTGATGATTCACGCTTCACTATCTGGCAGTTTGATGGACAAATCTGGGTTTGACGGATGCCAGGAGAACAGCACCAACTAGAATGTATAGTACCAACAGTAAAGTTTGGTGGAGGAGGGATAATTGTCTGGGGCTGTTTTTCAGGGTTTGGGCTGCTTGGTTCCAGTGAAGGGGGATGTTAATGCTACAACATACAAAGACATTTTCAACAATTATATGCTTCCAACTATGTGGCAGCAGTTTGGGGAAGACCCTTTCCTGTCCCAGCATGACTCTGCCTCTGTGTACAAAGTGAGTGAGAGGCCTGCACAGAGCCCTGGCCTCTACCCAACTAAACACCTTTGGGGTAAACTGGAACCGGAACATTGATTGTGAGCCAATCATGCAACATCATTGCCTGACCTCACAAATGCTCTTTTGACTGGACTCAAATTCCCAGCCACACTCCAAAATATTGTTGAAAGCCTTCCTAGACGATTGAAGGCTGCAAAGAGGGTGCAACTCCACATTAATGCCCATGGTTTTGGTATGGGCTGTCCGACAAGCTCATGTAAGTGTGATGTCAGGTGTCCGCATACTTTTGGCCACATAATGTTGTTGCTTATATCACTCACCTCACTATAGGACAACTCACCCCACACATACACACATGTACTCACACACTGACCTCAATAATGGAATAGCAATAATAAGCGAGGCTCAGAATGTCACTGAGGAATGAGGAATGATTATGATGAAAAGAAACATCAATCAGCCACTGCCTGTGTTATGAAATATGAAATGATTATTAGGCTAAGCTTCAGTTCCAGCTTAATAAATGCAGAATGCATTATGCTGTTTTTTATTCAGACCTGCTTGTGGACAACCATGATCTTTTTACTGTGAGGTTTGGAATGTAAATAGTTTTCTTTAATCTGGTTGTTTACAGAGGTGGGTAGTTTCCTTTTACTCAGTTCTATGTAACAAAGTACAATTTGGATTCATTTGGGTATTTTTTTGTATTGAATATGTTTATGTGGTAAGTCATCTACTTTTTCCTAAGTTACAGTTGTCCCTATTTCCTTTTTTAAGGTTTAATTTCATTGTTTCCTTTATTTCAGCTCTTGGACTCTTGCTCACATCTCTCATTTTGGAGCTTTACCATTTTATTTTAAGAGAAGAGAATTAAGAGATTAAGAGAATTAGATATAAAAAATTTAATTTGCTGTCTTTGGAAGTTATTTTACTTCTAATTGAGTCTTCATTTCATTAAAATAACAATACTTTTACTGGATTGTAGTGTAAGTTCCTCTACATAACTTTGTTTAATAAACTTGTATGATCAGTATGAATTTACCGTAAAACAAGAAAACATTTTTTCTCCTATTCAAAGCAAACTCGACAACATTGCAATCAGTTTATCATTAAATGGAACTGATTCATTTAGAGTAAAAGATATGAAAGCTCAATATAAAAATCAGCTCCAAATACTTACAGTCTTCATGTTTCAATAATGACCTGGTGTAAAATGGCATGCAAAGTTATTGATTCAGTTTATTATATGATCTCAGTCCTAAACTTGTTATTTGTAACTGCCAGATGTTTTGCCGCATTGCGTGGACAATCATTTTGGAGGGCTAGGATGATTTAGAAAAATGATGGGGAAAAAAAGACTTAAGGCTTTTTCAGACAAAGTCCAAATTTTACAAACTGTAATTGTAACTGGCACTAAAAATAACCCAAGATAGAAAAAAAAGCATGTCAAGTTTTTAAAACACAAATGTCAACACTTAGGCCGTCTTTCAGATCAGAGCTTATGGCTGCTGTAGAAACTCCCAGTGCTTAGCAGCTTTAGCAGAATGGGCTGTTACCCTGTGTTGGCGTTTTTGAGATACACTAAAAGAGAAATGATAACTTTGTAGGCATGTATTTATGTATTTGAGTTTTCTCTTTATGTATTTGAGTTCTCTGTTTATGTATTTGAGTTTTCTCTTCATGTATTTGAGTTCTCTGTTTATGTATTTGAGTTCTCCCTTCGTATATTTGCATTCTCCCTGTATGTATTTGAGTTCTCCCCATATGCATTTGAGTTTTCTCTCTATGTATTTGAGTTCTACTTTTATGTATTTGTGTTCTCCCTTTATGCTGTCATGTGCTCAGCTTTGGTTTGATTTATAAATGTTGTTGTGATTTCACTCCCACTGTAGATTCCTCTTTAGAATTCCCCACCCATCACACAGTGGTGGAAATCCCACCAATATTAATAAGGGCCACATTCCATGATGTGATTATTTTGAATAGCGACTAAACACAATGCTGACAGTTAAGAGGGTTAATAGCTTACTAAGAACTACACAGTGATGAAATGGCTTTGCATGCTGGTGACCGGAGTTCAAATCCATGCATAGATAATAATGCTAGCATTTTAGGCTGCCTTTTGAAAAACACTAACCTGCTTTTTAACACTTTGTTTAGTTTTATTTGAAACATGATTGCATGTCTGTTCTGTTCTATTCTATTCTATTCTATTCTATTCTATTCTAGAATTAGGTGTAAAGCCTGTATGCCTGTGGAGAGAAATCATGTGCATCCTCATCTGTTTCTTTGCTGTGCCCCCTCCCCACAGCTGTGTGCGCAGAGGGGATGGTGTGTATGCTGCTCCACATCTGTGATCATGGATCAGATGCTATAACTGTAACTAATACAGTGCTTTCAAAATGCTACTTTAAACTGCAAATCTCTGCTCTGGAGTATTACATCAGTAGAGATTTATGTGACCATTGCTTTATGAAATGATATTGCCTATTATTCATCCTACTTATTGCACATTATCTGTCACACTCTAGAAACTGATATGAGGAGTCTAAATGGCATATTATGGCTGTTCAAACAGCATCAGATAACACTGACAATTCCCTTATTCACAGGACATACATTTGGTTTTCTGTTTCTAAGAAAATGTCTTAAATCTTCTTTTTATCGCTCCTGAAGGTTTTGGAGTTTGATATCACATACATGCCAAACACCTAAAAGCATAAAGCATCCCTTTAGCATGAGTTAGAGTGGAATTTGTGATCCAGAACTGTTGATCCAACATCAGTACCTGACCTCACCAAGGCTCTTGTGGCTGAATGCCATCAAATCTTTACAGTAAAAACATGTATACATACACATACCACTCCTAACTATTGAGTTCAGGTGTTTCAGTCACACTCATTGCTTATAGGTGAATAAAATGAGGCACATAGCCACGCAATCTCTACAGACACACACTGGCAGTAGAATGAGTCGTACTGAAGAGCTCAGTGACTTTAAACATGGCCTGTTTATGACACCTCTGCCACAACTCAGTTTGTGAAATTTCTGTCCTGCTAGATCTGCCCCTGCCAACTGTAAGTGCTATTATTGCGAAGTGTCTGGGAGCAACAACAGCTCAGCCACGAAGTGGTAGACCATGCAAACTCACAGAGCAGGGCTACCAAGTGCTGACGCATGTAGGATATAATAATCACCTATTCTCTGCTGCTCGCGACACTTACTACAGAGTTTTAAACTGCTTCTGGATGCAACAACAGCACAAAAACTGTGCATTGGGAGCTTCATAAAGTGGGTTTCCATGACTGAGCAGCTGCACACTAGCCCTAGGTTACTATTTGCAATGCCAGGCGTTGGTTGGAGTGGTGTAAAGCATGGCGTTACTGGACTCTGCAGCATTGGAAACGTGTTCTCTAGAGTGACGAATCACGCTTCAGTGTCTGGCAATCTGGCGGATGCCAGGGGAACGCTACCTACCGGAATGCATAGTGCCAACAGTAAAGTTTGATGGAGGAGGGATAATTGGCTGGGGCTGGAAACCAAACAGCACTGCTGTGTCTGATCCACTCAGACTAGCACAACACACACTTACAGACCACCACCACGTCAGTGTTACTGCAGTGCTGAGAATGATCCACCAGCTAAATAGTACCTGCTCTGTGAGGGTCCATGGGGGTCCTAACCACTGAAGAACAGGGTAAAAGGGGGCTAACAAAGTATGCAGAGAAACAGATGGACTACAGTCTGTAACTGTAGAACTACAAAGTGCACCTATATAGTAAGTGGAGCTGATAAAATGGACAATGAGCGTAGAAACAAGGAGGTGGTCATAATGTTATGCCTGATCAGTGTATATATATATATATATATATATATATATATATATATATATATATATATGTATGTATATAGCACTGATTTGTTATACATAACATCATTTCACTTCTCTTCAGAAGGTTTCAGTGGTAGAGAAACTTGACGGGAGTGTGACTCGAAGCGAGGGCGGAGTGGAGAGGGCGGGGTTTGGAGCGATGCAGCCGGGAGCAGAGCGCGCGCTGCAGGCTCCAGCAGAGCGAGCGCGTGTCTCCGGGACTCCCGCTGAAACCAAACAGCAGCAGCAGCGCGCGGCGCCGCTTCAGGTGTTTCTTTTTTCCATAAATTAAGCGGCCAGAGAAACAAAAAGCCGGCGTGTCATCCTCTGCGCACCTGCGCACGCTACTCAGAAAAACAGTCCACCGGCGTTTTAGTTTGGCACGAGACAGAAGGAGTGAGAGAGAAAGAGAGAGAGAGAGAGAGAGATAGGGACGGAGGAGCCTTCCAAGCACGTGAACGGTGTTTCGGCTCACCTCGTGCTCAGACTGAATCCGGATAACAGACGGATCTGCAGGACTCCGCGGGAAACTTGCTGCACGCGCACTTCGGTGGCTTTAGCGACTCGGAGGTAATGCACTTTTTATTCAGGCTCTCGTGCGCTCTGCCTCGCCTGTTTATTGCCTCGCTGTGCGTTTATACACTTCTTGGCTCTGAAACGGTGCATTCAGCTGTTTTTGCCTCTGCCTGAAGCTGTGTTCTCATTCAGGGCTGTGGAGTTGGAGGTGTGAGTGAGTAAGGCGAGCTGGCCGGGCTGGACTGCAGTGCGCTCCTGGCCACTTCTGCTCTAAATGGACAGATAAACCGCGATACTGATGGTGCACAGTGCGATTACTGTGTATCATATGAAACTGATTTAAACCCACTGGTGAACAATTGATTACATTATTGACGTTTGTTGATGAGGTTATTAATCAGAACAGTAACAGAAGCTGATCTGAAAGGTATCAGCATGCAAACACCATTTAATAAATAATAACAATTAGCAAAGCACCTTTATGGGAAGTTTGGTACTTGTAATCTTTCATATATGGATGCATAGACATAAAAATGGGACTAAATCTACCAATAACATTCATTTTTGTGGGGTTATGGATGATCTTCTGGAATAAAATCTGTCCAATGGCAATAATTTTTGAAGCGTTTATCTATCGATCCAATATAGTTCTGACATTATCATGCAGCCTTATAAAAATATAGTATGAAAAATTATATTTCAGTTCTACAGCCAATGTCGTTATTGCACAGAAAAAAATATGATAACAGTTAACAAACAATACATTATGTGGCACTAATCCCAGTCTACACTCTTCCCTGAAGAACCTTTCAGTAGATGGTTTGTATAACCATATACATGAGAGATGGGAGTACCTGTTAAAGTTTTAAAGGTTCTGCGAAATTGGTGTGAATTGGTGTGCGCTCTTTAAAATAAAGGTGCCAAAAAAGGTTCGTTCAGTTCCACAGAAGAACCACTTTTTGTTTCCAAAAGATCCTTTCTGGATGGAACCAATCAGTGAACTTTTTGCAAATTAAAGAATGAAGAATCTTTGTAATTAATGTACTAAGAAGAACCCTTGAATTGATATAGAACCTTTATATTACTTAAACGTTTAACACTCACAGCTGTCTTTTTCCGTGGGTTCTGCGAAGAACCCTTAAATTGGTGTATGCTCTTTAAAATAAAGATTCCCAAAAAAGGTTTGTTCAGTTCCATAGACGAACGATTTCAGCGGATGGAACCATTCGGTGAACTTTTCTTGTAAATGAAAGAATGAAGAATTAAGTTACTAGGAAGGACCCTTGAATTGATGTAGAACCTTTACATTATGTGAAGTTTACTTAAACCTTTATGTTAAACTGTAAAGTGGTTGTTCAAAGAACCTTTTGTGGCATCTTTTTTTTTCTTTAAGAGTCTAGGACATCAGTGTGGTTCCGTCAGAAGCTGTTGGGGAAGGACGTGTCTGCTCCTGTGTGCTTGATTGGACCATGAATGAATACCATAGGAGTTGCTGAGCCAAACCAGCGCTTAGGGAGTGACATGAGAGAAAAAGAGAGCAAAGTGGCCGAATGTTTGATTTTGTGAGGATGAGTGGTGAGTCAGTCGGGGATTACATGAATGTGCTGTCCATTCCGCTTCACATTCTGGACGGGTTTAGCGGTGGCAGTTATCGTGTAAGTGTTTTCAGCTCTCGCTCTGCTTCTTAATCACATCGTGTCCTTTTTATTCGGTGGCTAGTAGCCTGAGTTATTTCAAGCTAATTAAACTGTTTTGAATAAAAAGCACAAAGACCTTCAGTATTTCATTTAGAAATGTAGTGAGGAACTAAGATACCTCACGATTCTATGTTCTCTGAATATTCATGGGTGGGTTGAATAACCACGTCTACTTTGACAAGGCATTGTGCTGGCCCATAGACGTATGTTTACTCTAAGAAATATGTTTGTTTTACTTACTGAACAGGTCTTAGTGGCTTTGGCTGTGAAGATGTTTATTTTATTCTGTTGAGCTTTTGGTGATGTGACTGTTTCCTGTGTGATCTCAGAGTCTCAAATGCATATTATGCTGTAACAGTATTGAAGGGTGTTGGATGTTGTGTGGCTGGCACTATTGGCACCCTTCCTTTTCACTGGAATTCTTTCTGACTGAGTCTGTGATTTAGTATGGTTGTGCTGTTGGTAATGGAGGATACATACTGGTAAGAAAACTTGGCTGTGGTTCAGGGCATTGTGGATTCCAAAACCTCTGCTGGTTATATTCCTTGTGCTGTCAGGTAGAGAACTAAACCCTGTGTCTGATTCTTTGGTGCACTATGGTTGTGTTGTTGGGTGGTCAGCTGTGGTTGTCATGGGACTGGACCCCAACAATGCCAATGGGATTGCATTGTTGAGGTCCAGTGGATTTGCATTCTTTGGGTCTTGTTACTGTTACTTCATTGGTGCTTTGTAGTTAGAGTGCTATTTGGGTCCAGCCGGGCTGCAGTGTTGGCGTCCAGTGGTGATTTGTTGTCGGAATCCAGTGAGATTTCATCATTAAGGTCCAGTGGGATTGCTTTGTTGAGATCCAGTGTGAATGCATTGTTTGGGTATGCTTATCACTACACTCTCAGAAAAAAAAAGTGCTAAACTGTCACTGGGGCAGTACCCCTCTTGTCACTGGGGTGAGACCCTCAAGGGTACATCTCAGTAGCTTTAGTCAGGGAACATAACTGTAGCATAATCCATTGAAATGATATTTTCTAAGTTGTACTGACTCCACACACCCCGTCTCGTCTCCAGGCTTTTAATTTTATTGTTCTGTTTTAAAACATTCGGTTATGAAAAGGTACAAATATGTACTTTTCACCTGGGAAACAACATATTTAGGGTTCACAGCTGGACCTTAAAGCCACAGCTATACCTTTTAAGGGTGCATTTACCTTGTTTGTACCTTGATGAACAGAAAATGTACCTGTACAGTACCTTTATTTCTAACACTTTGATTCATTTTTTTGCTGGTGATTAACTGCCAAATAAAACAACTGACAGCACAAACAGCTCAAGTAACCTGATGTGTCTCAATAACTGTATTTTCTGCTTTCTTTTTCATGGCATTTGGCAGACGGTCTTATCAAGAGCGACTTGCAGTTTGATCATTTTACACAGGTGGGCGAAGGTAGTGTTAGGAGTCTAGCCCAAGGACTCTTATTTGTATAGTGTAGTGTGCTTACCCAGGCAGAGATTGAACCCTAGTCTATAGCATAGAAGGCAGAGGTGTTACCCACTACACTATACCAACCATTTACATGTATTGGCCTCCCAACTGAGGAAAACACACCAAGTACATACTCTGCTGTGATGTAAACACAGGATTGCAAAAAAGGAACTGCCATTAAAAATATTTACAGTCAGCTTACATATTTGCAATTAGCTCAAATAACTGTGAGGCCTTTTGTTTTGTTTGTTGCTTGGGTCTTTGTTGTTACCTGTACTTCATTGTTAATGGTACTTTTTTTGGTCCAGTAGAGTTGCACTGTTGGGGCGTAGTAGAATTGCATTGTTGGGGTCCAGTAAAATTGCATTGCCGGAGTCCAGTGATTTTGTGCTGTTGAAGTCCAGTGGGATTGTGTTGTTGGAGTCCACTGGGATTGCGCTGTTGGGGTTCAGTGAGGTTTTGAGCTTTGACTCATCTCTACGGGAGACAGAAGGAGGATATTTGTGTGGCAGCTGTCCAAGTGCTCCTTTTGGCTTTTAAGATAGCCGGGCTGCAAATACACTGTGGCTGTCATTCAGCTCTCTCGTTCTGTCTCACTGTCCACTTCTCCCTTTCTCTGTCCATTGTTTGCCTGTGCTCTCTTTCTTTTTTTTGTTGGTGTCTATCCATCTCCCTCTCTAAATATCTCTTCTACCCTGTTCCCCGTTGTCCCTCTCTGTTATCCCCTCCTTCACTCATTCTCTCTCATGGTGACTTAGAGTGAGCTTGGTCAGCTGAATGGTCAGTGATTTCAAAGGCTGCAGATCTAATGTGATGTCAGTGAGAGTGATGCCAGAGAAATGATTGATGCTGTTGTCTGACAGTTTGTGTTATAATGCCGTCAGTGGGCATTCTGCAGCCAGCATGAAATGACCCACCATGCTTCCTTGCTTCCTTGCTTTGGTCCAGTTGTTCCATTTGAACTGATGATTATTTTAAGTGTATGACTTTTTGTGTAAGTCTAAAGTTGCTTAATGTGTGAAGTGTTGCTGATATATGGGCAGAGAGAGATGTGAGTAGTATACAGTATACAGTATACATCAGCTGGGGATTAGGAGTGCTTATTTCCCATGAAGTGCAATTTTCAATGTTAGCCAGATAGACGGATAACCTGAGGCAAAAGCCAAGGCTGTTGGATGAGAGAAGGTGAAAGAGGTGACATTATTGTGAGAGAGGCTTAATTCTGTACTGCAGTTATCCTGCAGACTGAGAAACACTGCTCATGAAGAAGTTCAGCAGATTTCAACTTTATGTAAGTGAGAGCATCTGCTGCATTGCACTTGCCAATCGGGCAAGACTCGACCACTCATTGTCTTGAAAGGCAAACGTAATTTTCTCTGAAAGTAGAGAGAGGCAACAATGGCTGACTTTCTCTTCTAATAATCCACCACAGTTTTACAGAATATTGAAAATATCTGGTTTTATAACTGGTGACAGTGAAGATTTGAATGGAGATCATTCGTTTGGTTGTCGTTTACATGGTTCAGATAGATAGACAGACAGACAGATAGATACTTTATTGATCCCGAAGGAAATTTTGCAGCCAGTAGCAGTCACACAACACAGCACAGTTATAATAATAAGGGTGATACAATATAGAAAGAAGAATATATACAAAAAAACAGGCATATATACAAATAGAAATATATAAATATATGCAATAAGATCTATAACCTGAGATAAAAAAAGGCAGTGCAATAATGGATGTAGAAGGAGGCACAGGTAACAGAATATAATGACAATACTGAATAAATATGTGCATAATGGTACTGAAATAAAGTGTCCAGGTGTGGAGTGTCCAGATGTGCAAGATGTGCAATAAGGTGTGCAGAAAGTACAAT